CCGCACAAAACGTTGGAAAAATAAATGAATGAATGGAGATTATTATTTGTTTGTCAAAATGTATAGAATGAAATCCAATTAAAATCTACAATAGAAATATGTAACAAGTGGTAATTGAACATGAATAATTGTATCTATAAATATTTTTGGGATGAATGTTTGTTATTAGGGCATCTTGAATATATTGGGTCTGGCAATTTGAATTATTGAAGTTTGCGTGGCGTTGAAAAATCTTCGCATTGAAGTTGAAGAGAGGAGGTGGGTGGCTGTAACATTCTGAAGCATTATTGATATGTAAATATGGTGCAGTGCGGTGCTTTGAAATGGTAATGGACTCGCGTTTGCTTATGCGGTAAATGTTGGAAGAGGAGAGGCCAATGCACATCATATCACATTTGAACTTACGTATATGCTAGCAAACGCCGAAAACATCATCTTCAATTACCATTGTTTGTCCGACGATCTCTCTCTTCGATGTGCCCTAATGTGATGCTCGAATATTATTGGTATTCCCTTTTATCCTATTTGTCCATACGCTAATGGAATTCTTGATCCAACAACGACGAACGCTTCAATTAGAATTGAAAAATAAACACAAATATATTGTATTTAAATATTTATTATTAACAATTGTAAAATGAATATTATTAATTTTTTTTTTTTCAAAATCTTTTTCTACTTAATTTTGAAATTAAAATTAAACAATAATAACTAAAATATCACAGTTAAATATTCAATAATTTATGAATAAACATAAAAAATCACTAAATAAATTATTTATATAGTTATAGGCAGATCCCTATAGTTGGATATCGTAGGATGTATAAAAATATTTTTAACTGAGGTCTGTTAATTTTCAATCCCATTTGTTACTTCTTTTTTCGTAAATTTTCTTACCAAATTAGGCGTCAATCGAAATTTACATAAAAAATATACTGAAAAAATCTGTAATTACCGTGATTGTCGTTGTAAACCACCGCGGATTTCGATGTTTGTGGGTTGATTTGCATCAGATTTACTAATTTCGATTAATGAAGTTGCTATTATTTTCCGAACAATTTGATTTTTTTTATGCCAAACCGCCGTTCGTTGCGGACCGTTTATTGGAATATGAGCTGATGTATGCGGACGTCGGATGCTGCGGCCGCAAATCGAAAACGTAATTACAGCTGTTAATTGTGATTGATGCAAACAGCGCCGTACATGTGCATTTATTTGCCAATATAATAATATAATGCAGTTGCGAAAGTGGGTGAGAACATGCGGGATCATTTATTCAAATGTACGTCGAAAATTGTGTAGGATCGTGTCAATTCTCTGTATGAGGGAGAAAGAGAGAGAAAGAGAGAGATATAGGATGTAGTGCATGTAATTCCGACACCCTCTATGTTTTCATTTATTCATTGCTAATAATTTAGTGGCCGAGGGTCGTCCGGAAAATCTGGCGTTCCGTTGCAGCGAAAGCAATAAAAGGACCCGGGGGAGGAAAGCCAAAAAGGAACGAAACTGTACTCTACTGTACTGAAGTGAAGTGAACTGTACTGAACCTTTTGCAAATAAATACCTCCAGGTCTTTATATTTTACGACCGAAAAGAAAAAGGCAGGCTCCAACCCCTCCCAATCGCCGTGCGTTTTGTATCGCTCCGACTCAAATGAGGATAAAGTGGTAATTCGACACATGACCCACAGCTGCTCGAAGGTGCACCTCGTCCCTACTATTCGAGTATTTATTTATACGCGGAAAAACATTGCCGTTGGCAATTGGATTATTTACAACACAAGGGAAAAGTATAAGTGTATGTAGAAAGAAAGAGAGAGGGAGAGAGAAGAAAAGGAAAACTTTCCTTGGCCTTCTTACATTTTTTCTCTACTTCTTTCTTGTGCAACAGCGCCTGTGGGACGATCCTCAGTACTACTATCCGGGACAACTTTTATTTTACTCGAGTCCCGAGGATAAAACTTATGCAATGAATTATTCCCGGTGACATCAAATTATGTAAGACGATCGATTCGCGACGAATGCACCGTTCGCATTGTTCCATTTTCCGTTTCCAGGCGCGAGGTAACTGGAGACAGATCTTGCGCGCACAATGATGATGGAAAATGCGAAAGTTTTTATTACAATATTGAATTTCCTTTAGCTATACTTCTGTCAGTTTTAAATTCATTTATTCGCTAATTTTGTGTATCATGATTATTTTCAGAATTTCGTTTGAAGTTACGTTATACAGGAAAAAATCTAAATATGTGTGATAGATTATTTCGATAACAATTTAAAATTATACAAAATGTTATAAATATTTGAAAATTGTCATAAAATTATGCAATTTACTTATTTCCTTTTGAGCCAATTTTGTTTTCTAAATATTTGAAAATATTAGTGGTCATCAGTTTAAATTTTTTTTTTTTTAATTTCAAACAACAAAAAAGTTTTTAAATTGACTATTAGTCGCCCTAAATGTAAATATTTGAGAATTTTCATGAAATTATGAAATTTTAGGTATAAAGTTAAATAATAATAATATAATTAAATAATATGAAATTCTATTATTATTTTCTCAAAACTTAAAGAAACATAACTTCATAACATTTACAAATGTTTTTATACAAATAATTTTTATTTGGAAATATTTATTTAATGATTTTAATCAATTCTTCAGACTAATTTCATCACTTTTTTGTAAATCAAAATTGAATATTAATAATTTTTTCATTTCGTGTCAAAAAATTACATTTTTTTTTTAATATAGTAGTAATTTGTTTAGTAAACACCAATTGATAACATTTTTATTAAAAATAAGTGAAGCCATGTAAGTGGAACAAACATTACCTTTAGTCATCTGACGCGGTGCAAAACCGATGGGCAATTAATTAAGTTTTATGATACCTGGAAGGAAGAGCAGCGGCCGTCCGTAATTTATAGCTCAAATTACATTTTAGTAACCCAAATTCAACAATCACTGTACGTTTCCTATGTGCCGGATGATGATTGCTATTACATCACAGTTACCGGATCGAAATCTTGAACCGATTTTGTTATCTAATCCAACTGCACATCTTTCTTCGACATTAGCAAGTGCAGATTATATTTTTTAAAAAGATTCTCTTATTATACAAAAATCCATTTTCTTTTATCATTTTCTGTTACTCTCTGTCTATATATATAAATATATTTCCTGTTTTTCTCTTTTATTTTTGGAATAAATTTCACGTCTCAGATAGCGCTGGTTGGCGCCGGATGCGGTAGTCAGAAGCTGTCGCCCCAAGTTGTTGAATGCAGCTGAATATTCAGATGCGCTTGAATATCTTATCGGAGTGTTCCACGTCTACTTTCTTCCAAGAAAAAATAAATGGAAATTCAGTTTTTTTTTTCGGTCTCCAACTTTTCGAATTACATTTGAAAGCTGAATAAAGAAAAATTTGGTACTGAAATTTTCACTGGGGTGACAACGAAACCACTAGCGCCATCTGACGATCGCTCTCTATAATCTTAGGGTTTATTGATTGTTACCACTGTAGAATACTATTTTCGTATAGAGCCGAGTATATTTGTTTGAAAATACATATAAATTCGTTTTTATATATAAATAAATTTATTTAAAAAATTATATTAATTATTACGAAATTATGGATTGTTTTCTGGCATAAGGGTACAATTCAGAAAATTGATTTTACGTGAAATATAGACTACTGTTTTGTTTACAGATATCTATTTCATCAGATATTTATTTTAATAAAATTGTATACCTAGACCATGTTTATTATTTTAGTTTTAAATTTAAAGAATAATTTAATTATTACAATTTGTGAATTGAAACAACTAATTTATTTCTCAAAAAATGCTTGAATTTAATAGAAAATTAATTTAAAAAAAAAATTGTGAAGGAGTGATCATAGATGGCTCTAACGTCGATTACACAATATTTGCTTATAGAAAATGTTCTTCTACATGTCTGTGGTGTAGAAGAAGTTGCATATATACAAACTAAAATTAGTTTAAAAATATGTATACATGGTTTGTTTATTTAAATGAAATGTGAAATAAATAATCCATATTTATTTAACATAAAATTATTTTGTAAAAAAAAAATATATTTTCCATTACTTAATTTAAATTATTGACTAATTTATCAGTATGATTTTTCAATTAATTTTTCTGCAGACTAATTGTTAAATTTGCTAATTTGGCGTTAGCAATTTTAATTTCAATTAGAAAAAAATAAATTTGTATATTTGTTGAATTATCAAACCAATCATATCTAATATTATGATTTGTATTATTTGCGTCCAAATTAAGTTTATATCTAATTATTTTTTTAAATTATTTCATTCAATTTGATAACTTTTACTCCTATTACCAAAAGAAAAGTTTTGTGTTTCTAAGTAAATATGTAAAGCTGCATACATCGTCCTCCTATTGATTTGGGAAATATTCTCTGTTCTATGCTTGTATACCAACTGCTATTCTGATGTCTTGATGATTAATATAAAATTTATAGCTGCAATTGCATACTATGAAAATAGTAATTGGTACAACTGATCCACATCATGCATAGTATTACATTTTCAGTTTTACGACTTCAATTTGATTAAATTGAAAGTACTACATTCCACTTGAAATCAGTATAACCTGATTAACCCTAATTGAATCTATCCCAGAAATGAGTTGGAAAAGACATATATTTCCTTCAGCTGTCTTGAGCACTAGCTGGAAGTGAACGTGAACTTTAACAGAAATTCCATGTACATAACGTTTCATAAACGTCTGAAGCAATGCACTTGCCTGGATCGCTTTACGTCAGGCTCACAAAACGGCGGAAACAAAGCGCACCTTCAACCGAATACTACATCCTCGTTATATCCGATCCCCGTGTTCATGAACATTTATGTTCATCCACCCAGGATTTTTCTATACCTTCCTTCATCCATATACATATAACGTATATATATATTTTGTTTGTAACTCAAGATTTTTTACTTATTTATTTTTTGTTTGCAGACCCTGACCGTTTTGAACCCGTTCCGGACTCCAGAAGCTGCGGCCGTTCAGGACACGGATTTCGCCGGGCCCCTGGTTTTCTGTTTAACCTTCGGGGCGTTTTTATTGCTGGTAAATAGCTTGTAAACACGCTTAGTAAACCCGAATTTCTCCTGCGAAATCTACGAGTTTCGTATACCTTTATATATAAAATGGGGGAAGGAAAAACAAACACGTTCAAGTGGAAAGAGTCGTACAAAAGATCTAATTTATGTTCGTTGGCGACAATTGGCTGTGCCTTTAATGTTTACTTTTTTCTTCTCAGTCTGGTAAAGTGCACTTCAGCTACATCTACGGGATAGGCGTGTTGGGATGCCTGTCCATCTGGGCGCTCCTCAGTCTCATGTCCACCAGCGGAGTTTCTTTCGGAACCGTCGTCACTGTGCTAGGATACTGCATCCTTCCTATGGTCGGTCTGTCCGGCATCAATGTTGTATTAAGCTTGCAGTGAGTATAGGCCATCCCCTCGTCACTTGCGTAACGCAATTGGTCTAATCCTTTGTTTGCTTCGCAGGGGGTACATTGGCATCGTGCTGACTTCCATAGCGATATTCTGGTGCAGTCTCTCCGCTTCAAAACTGTTCGTGACAGCTCTCGGCATGGACCACCAACAGCCGCTCGTCATGTATCCTTGCGCCCTACTTTACGGAGTATTCGCACTCATCACCATCTTCTGAGTTAGGGTTCAATCCGGAAGATGTTTAGGAAATTACGCGATATTTACATTCTCTTAATTAAAAGCAATCAACAAATAATCACACAATAAAAATAATCAAATAATAACAGTAAAATATTATAAATCAATTAATTTCTCTTCAAATTAACATATTACTTTCAACGCTTCAAATCCAAAGAGAATAAAATTGTTTACTTTTCTATAATAATATTGGTGGAAGGTTTAAATAAAAATAATAATAAAAAACAACAACCTTTTTTTCTGTTCTAAAAATCCTTATACATTTTCGCCTGTTAATTTTGTAAGTAAATTTAAAAAAAACTTTTTTTCTGTACCGTTACAAACTATTGATTAATTGAAGTGATGTTGCTTCTATTACAAAAAAAATTCCAATTCTGGATGAAAAACGCATTAACGTTTCTTACATTACAGATGTCGCTTTCGTAGTTACATAATTAAATTTTCATACAAATATAAAAATTGGGATGAAAAACACTACAAGAAGTAAGTTTTGGAGAATGTTGAAAATAAATTAATATTATTTTTGGACGAAAAATAATTTGAAGTTGAATTGACACAATTCTGTGAAACGTTTTTACAATTTATTCAATTCGTTATTATTGATACTACAATTTTTAACATAGCAATAATTCAATAAATGTTAAGAAACGTGACAACGCTGTTTTATTTTGTTGTTGTTAATGTTATTAAATTAGTATTAATATTAAATAATAGATGTCGCTCAAGCAGTTTTATTTAAACGTTCATAAATGTAGGAGATCTCATCATATGTCATCTGTATTCCAACGACGAATTTATTAACTAGCAACTGACGGTCCCCTGGATACGACAGTGGTGGCTTACAAATGTCTGAATTTCTAAATATAAAAAAATCTGCGACAAGCAGCGAAAGTGTGACAGAACTAGGTAAGTAATAATAAACATTTGGAGATGCTCGTAGTTATGTTTATTTGTAGATCATGACTAGTTACAATACAGTGTGATACATAAGATACATATGTCATAAAGGTTTCTTACAGTATAATGAGTCCGAGGCCCGAGAGCCATCATGGAGAATACACACGAGATAATACAGAGAAACTTACATGTTATTAAGACACAAGAGTAGCGGAAGAGAAGACAGGAAATAAGAGAAGAGAGAGCGGGTACAGGTATGTTGCCGCTTATATACCCTATCCAGATAGAGCCCTTATCAGATCTTCCCGGAATACCAGCTGCGGGCTGGAGTGGGTCCAGGGGGGTTCAACGGGATACGGCAAAGCTCGACACTTTTATTTTGTTTCCTTTAGGTTGGTATAATTAACTTACAGAAGAATCGGATGAATTCGGAACCATTCGTATACTTTTCAAATTTATGCTTTCGGCCATGTTGGTGTGTTGTTTACATTTTGTGTTTACATTTGGTGACAGCAACTACAGTGAGCAAGTAAGTAACAGTTTTTCATTATTATTTATATAAATATGTATGTACAATTAATGCACGTTCTATATTAGAATGGTTTATACTTGTTGTGTTGAAGGATGTTTTACAAAACAAGGAGACAAAATAGTGTTGAGATCATTTCCACCTATTGATTCTTTGTTATTTGAGCAGTGGAAAGTTGCTACAAGTAACAATTCACTGAAAGATATGGACAATCAGTATATAAGGAAATCTAAGAAAGTATGTAATCTTCATTTTTCTGAAAAGTACAGAAAGAGACCGAAGTTCTTAACATACGATTATCCAATGTTGACAGAAAATCTTATGAATGATGCAGTTGTTGATGAAATGAATATTGATGACGATAGTAATAAAATTATTGGCAATTCAGATCACTTGGGTTGTACAATAGTACAAGTTGAGACTGAAGAAATGAGTATTGTTGCCGATGGTACCAGAACTATTAACAACAATCTTATTAATTTGAATCAACTGTATTGTGAAACAGAACAAGTTGAGACTGAACAGTGTGATACATAAGATACATATGTCACAAAGGTTTCTTACAGTATAATGAGTCCGAGGCCCGAGAGCCAACATGGAGAATACACACGAGATAATACAGAGAAACTTACATGTTATTATGACACAAGAGTAGCGGAAGAGAAGACAGAAAATAAGAGAAGAGAGAGCAGATACAGATATGTTGCCGCTTATATACCCTATCCAGATAGAGCCCTTATCAGATCTTCCCGGAATACCAGCTGCGGGCTGGAGTGGCTTGTAGGTAACGTCATATAAGCGGGCTGGAGTGAGCACCACAAACATATCGGGCAGAAAGAATTATGGTCAATAGCCCTTTCTATCAATTAACGTTTTTTTTTTAATTATATTTATTTTGTTTTTTTTATTACTGTATATGTTTTTTTTTTGAACGACTGATGCAATAAAAATTATTATTATTAATAAACATAAAAATAAGATTTCATAACCTATAACCTATTCCATTCCTATTTTTTTGTAATTCGCAACTCTTGTATTCTATTTTTACAATTTAATTTTTGTAATTAATGATTGCAGTATTAAAAGTGTAAGTTCTCAAACCCTTTTTTAATTTACTTTTTTAACATATTGCACCTCTCAAATTAGTTTTAATTCAATTTAATACATGTCGCCTTCGCGTTATATAATTTTGTTTATAATTATATAGTAGGAAAATTACGAGCATTACATAAATCCCTGTAAACTACTGTTGATTCACCTGGAAATGATTAGGTTCACATTCGAATCAGAAAAAAAAAATGATGACGAGAAAACGAGATGGGAATTTGGTGATTTTTCGCAGTCACCTTAAAGATACGGGCACGTTGCTTCCCCATTTGTTTTTCTTCTTCTCTCTGATTCTTCTTCTTCGTCTCCTTACTGCATTGCACGCCTAATGTATCCCACTGACAACCGCGCATTATGTTCGTAGCCTCACTTGACTGATGACACTCCCATTAGCTTGTCAAAAATTCTCGCCCGGCGTGACGAATGCGCGGGGTGCCTGACAATCTGTAACTTTACAAATTTCGCGTCTTCGTCGAAAACAAGCGATAATACTTCCGTGATTTTACCTAACACAAATATAAAATATATATATAGAAAAAAAATATTTTTGCAAACATATTTCACGTTTATTCACTAATAAAACGCGCTTTACGTTCATGCATTCCAAGGAAATGATATTGTGTGTAAACAGTTTTGTCGCTTTTCTTTCCCCTTTTTCTCATCGTGTATTTTTATTTATTTATTTATATTTTTTGTGGTTTTCATAAGGGCTCGTCTGAGGACGTATTTCACGGTGACGCGGGCGACCGTAAAAACATCCGCATCTCGTTTCCTGTTTCATTGAAAATTGAAAACTCCAGTGGGCTTTCCTCGCGCCTTCCCATTCCTCCCTTTATAGGTTAGATTCAGGGGAAGTCCCTCTTTACTCAGGTGGCGCCTCCTCTTCACAGGATAATAGAATTTCAGGTAGTAAAGCTCAAATTGAAAACTTGCACTGTGCACACACACATACACACACGTTAGGCGAAAAAAAAACGTAGCTGCGATGAAATAGCGAGAAACGCAATCAAAGAAAACAACAAAATATGTATATATGCATATTGCAATGGAAAATAAGATCTTGGTTTGGATTAAATCCAATTGCGAGATGCATACGCAAATTGCTATTCGTAATGGGTAAATAGAAATGAAAAAAAAAATACACAAAGTTGGAATTGGAGCCCATTCTGTGTTCCGTTCACCGTCCTACTCGCTTCCTCGGACGACAATTTCGTTCCGAAGATTTCGTTGCTACAAAGGAAAAGCTTTGTCGGCATCCGCCGTGTTCATATCAGGAAACGAAGGAAATTAGTGCGACTCTTTGATATTCCTATCGGATCCACATTATTCTTTTATCACATTTCATTTCAATATATTCTTCAATAATTCATAACTATTTTTGAAAAATAATTTAAAATTTCAACCTTTCTTTACAAAATTTTAGGTTTAATTTTAGAATAATTTCGTAAATATTGTTATTTTTTATTTCAATTTTTCAAAATCTGTTTATATGTAATAGTTAACATGCTAACCAACAAACTAAATGAAGGAAAATAATGATAAAAACTTTAATTGGAATGTTTACTAAAAACAAATGTCAACTGTCGGATATTTATTTTTCACAGGAATAGATTGTAAAATAAATATACTTTGACATAATAAAAAAAATGTAATTGTTTAACTCTTTGAGTGGCGGTGATACACGCAATGTATCACCTTTTGAAGTGGGGGTATTATTATAATTTTTAGAACATGTACAGGAAGGTGGAATCAATTTAGTTGATATGTCAAGGGATGAATTTTGTTAGTCCGATAATATCCATTTAATAATATTTAATAAAATCACAAATGATGTAAATTCAATATCTTTCTACAAGTCAAACAACTTTTCTATGAACTACAAACTTTTGTTTTTTGGTTGGTGAATTTTTACAAAATTAAACTAGTCCTCTTTGTTAGTAATTATATGAAAATATACATACGTATGTGCTAAATCATAAATGTATTCAAATGAACAAAGAAGATTTCACAAAAAATAAATAATATATGGAATTTGTCGGAAATGAGTTAGATTGAACTGAACAGTAATTAAGTGAACTAGATTCGATGCTGGGTTGTCCATTTCTGTTTGCTATCTTCTCACTCTCTCGGCCTGTCATCCTCTATCTCCTTTACTTTGATGATTTGTGAGCACTGGACGAGTAATAATAGTCGAAAAAGAGAGCAGCTTTGGTTTGTGTCCGTGTATACGTATACACGTGTAACACACGGACAAGTGTGTTAGTCTGTATATGTACGAATTCGTGTGTGTATTGGTGAGCGGGATTTATCTTCATTTTTATTGTCCAGTTTATCGCTGCTACGTAGCAAACTCGAGCTTTCATATTCGGTGGGACATTTGTAACCGCAAAACCTTTTATCGGAATACACACTGACCGCCGTACACTCCGTCGAGCAAGTATAAAACGGCCTTCCCCGAGAGATCAACCGCATATCCGACCGAAAACTGGTCTCGCCCATTTCTGGACCTTTCCAGGAAAAATCCTCTGAAAACCCGCATCGGAGAAGAGCAAATTTTTTTTTATATCAAATGAAGGGCGGCAAGAACATCCAAATCGTGTCATTTCTATTTCATTTAATTGAATGAGATTTACAACAACACCAGTTATGCGAAGAGCATCCCTTCAAACGAGATGTTTTGTCGTCTTCGAAATTACAAAAAAAAATCTTGTAAGACTTCCGCGCACTTTACTGACTTCCTTGTATATTTCTACGCAACTTAATTAAGAGAAGCGAACGCTGATCGAAGGTTTTGAATAAAAATAAGAGTTGTAACGCAATGAGCGAGCATTGATCCGCTCTGAAATATTTCAGGCTCTTTTATGTTCATTGCAAGTCGATGAAAACTGGCAAATAGAATTACGAACTGCGCTACGAGTATTTTCATCCTATGCGGGATGCAGAAACGATGAGGACCGATTAGGGGATGAGGATAGTAATATACTACGTTGCAATAACCTCCTTTGTTCGAAAATTGTGTCTCGAATTTAACCCCGGATCGCTGCAGAATTGCTCGCACATTTTTTTAAAAAATATAATATTCACCGTGCATGAAAGAGGAATTTGCTCGGAAGCAAGCAGAAAATATGCACGATCGGAAAATCTCGCACGGTTTTAAGTGTGCTGCACGAAAGTGCAGTTACGCTCGACCGGAAATGCCGTGTTGCTGATTTGACGCTTCCAAATACAAATAACCGTATTTTGCATGTCAAAGACTCCGCGAATAATAAAGCGCCATCTATTTATTTCAACTTGAACCAGTCCTTTCATCGCTCATCTAAGTTTAGCATGCGTATGTGTGTGTTGTGTGTACGAGACTTTATAACACGCTCGCATTCGTAACGTACTTCAATTTCAATGAATATCAAATGCGATCTCTGCATATTTCATGGATGCATAACACCAACTCTCACGTGATTTTTACGTTTATTACGGTCGCATCATTATTATATATTACAAAAAAAAATACAAATACTAAAGATTTTCACTGACTTTTTTTAATTTCAATTTTGTTTTTGTTTTATTAACAACGTCTAATGAAAAAAAGTGTTAATTTAATTTTAACATAATAATAGTAATATTCAAAGTTAATGAAATATAAAACGCGTCAAATTATAAAATAAAAATAATACCTAAAAATAATTCCTGCTGAAAAATAATGTTTTCATAATTTATTTATTTCGAATAACGTAACAACTCAATTATAAAAGCTGCAACAAGTAATTTTGATTTTTTTGTATTCATTTAAATATCAAACATAAAAGATTATACTATCTAAATTGAAATAAGAACACCGATTTCACTTATATTTTTATTTGATTGAAATGAATTAAAAACGTAACAGCTTCAATCATAATACTGGATTTTTTATTAGGATGATTTAAACCAATCGTTTTTTTTTTAATGGCGACTATACATTTTTTTAAATATTTTTTTTAATGCATTTTTTTATTATTTTATTCGTAATTGTTTCTTTTTATATTCAGTTTTATCATTTTGTTATTTTGCTTAATTTCTGGGTTTGTTTAAATTTCTTGTTGTAAATTCAGTTAATTTTTTAATTATATTATTTATTGGCATTCATCACATTTAATAATAATACAGAAATACCTTTCATGATGCGGTTTCAATTATAATAGTACGGTTTGAAAATTTCGAAAGAAATTAAATTTTATTTTTGCAAATTTGCATAAATTCTACAAAATAAGTACACAAAATGTCAATTTCTTGTGAAATCAATGTGTTTCTTTTCTGTATGCAATTAGCATTAACAAAATATTCGTTTCGCAAAAATGTAATAATTTCATTACTTTTTTTCTGTGTTACAATTGTATTTTTTTGTGTTGGAGTTAGAGAGATATTGAATATTTTAGGTGCAAAGTGCGGTCCCCACCGTCTTCAAGGATCATTTCATAAATATTTACACGAACGTCGTTTTCGACAGATTTCCTTTTGGAGTCGCGGATGGATACACCATCATCCCCTTGACCCGAGGCCGTGACCCGATCGGAGATACCTTATCATCCAGACGACCCACACAAGCCCCAAAAACACATCCAATCCCAACAAACCCCCAGTAAGTCCGGAACACAGAATACGCCTGGATGTAAACAATGCTGTAACCCAATATACATAACACAAGTGCGGAATTATTAAAATTTACTACTTCAGATACCTT